TCCACTCCTCTCTTGGTCACTAGATATCCAGAACCGGCCTCTTTCTTTCTCTGTTTAACCCCTCCCTACCCCCACTTCTTTCCTGAGTCTCCCAACGTTGATTTCCAGCAGGTTTTAGTCAGGAAGAATCTGGAGGATGGTTTAGTTCATACAATACAACATTTACAGGACAAGCTACCTAGATAGGCACTCTCATAACAAATATATTGGGTATAATTTTGCAAAAAGAGGCTAGGTTTTTCTTGCTTTGAATACATTTCTAATTATTCAGCATCTATTTATTGGTTACTTACTAGAGGATGACTTTTAGTACTGGGGATGGAGCAGTGAGCAAAACAACAAGGTCAATGCTATCCTAGTGTTTATATGTTAATGGAGGGGGAGCAGATAATTACTAAGTAAAAATAGAGTTTGCTTTGGAAAAAATGAAGGGCAAGGAGAGGGACAGTGATGAGAGGCCAAGGGGCTGTACTGGACAAGGAGGCAAGGGAAGTCCATTCTGATAAGATGGCTTTGGAGGAGAGATGCAGATGAGGTGCATGGGTAAGCATGTTCCTGGCAGAGAAATGAGAAAGTATAAAGGCCCCAAAGTGGAAGAATACTTGCCATGTTTGAAGGACTCCAGTGGGCCTGGGTGGGATGAGCAAGATAGAATTGGGAAAGGAGATCAGAAGAGTAACAAAGGCCCAGATCTGTGGGACTTTGTGGGCTGTGGTTTAAAACTTGAAGTGAGATAGGAAGCCAGCGGAGAGTACTGAGCTTAGGAGGAGCATGATTTAATTTGTGTTCACTCTGACTCCAGTATTACACAGAGATACAGAGGCTTGAGATTGGAATCAAGGATACCAGTTGGAGACTCCCACAGTAGTTCAGGGACAGGGATGGCTTCAGGTTTTGTGAGGCCTCAACTTTGTGGGGCCTCAACTTTCAACAAGGGAAGCCCTTCTTGAAGAAAAGGAATATGAAATTACAAATGGGAAATTAGGTATGGGACCTTGAGAGGAGCCTGTGCAAGTGAGGGATCCTGAAGCTTGAGCTTTATTAGTGCCACAGTATGCTTATTAGATGGGAGGCAACTGTAGCTTGAATTAAAGTGGTAGAGGAAGAGGAAATGATTGAATTCGGGAAATATTCAGAAGGATGGCCTGATGGGTTTGTTGACAGATTGAATGTGGATGAGAGACAAAAGGGGAGACAATACTAACGCTGAGGTTTGGGGCCTGAGAAAGTTATGAGACCATCTACAGAACATACAACCCATTTCTTCAAAAAAGAAATTTTAAAGGGGAAAAAGGTTAGTGATTAATGGAGACTTCAAAGACATTAGCCAATTAAAAGTATGAGCTTTGGCCAGGCGCGGTGGCTCAAGCCTGTAATCCCAGCACTTTGGGAGGCCGAGGCGGGTGGATCACAAGGTCAAGAGATCGAGACCATCCTGGTCAACACGGTGAAATCCCGTCTCTACTAAAACTACAAAAAATTAGCTGGGCATGGTGGCGCGTGTCTGTAATCCCAGCTACTCAGGAGGCTGAGGCAGGAGAATTGCCTGAACCCAGGAGGCGGAGGTTGCGGTGAGCCGAGATCGTGCCATTGCACTCCAACCTGGGTAACAAGAGCGAAACTCCGTCTCAAAAAAAAAAAAAAAAAGTATGAGCTTTATTTGGATCCTCATTTGAATAACCAAGCTATAAAACAATGTATAGAACAGTCAGAAATATGAATACTGACTGTATATTTGATTGAACTAAGGAATTATTTATTTTCTAGATGGGGACTATTACATTGGGAACATCTATACCATACTTATAGACATATATACTGAAATATTAGTGATGAAATGGTATATCTGGGATTTGCTCTAGAATGATTCAGTAGATGAGGGTGACAATAAACCTAAGACAGAATTGGTCATCTGTTGATAATTGTTGAATATGAGTGAAGTTTCACACTGTTATCTGTACTTTTGTGAATTTCATGTACTATCCTCTCTACTTCTGTGTATGTCTAAATGTTTCTATAATTAAAAGTTTTTAAAACTTAGTTTTTCAAAAGTAAAATAAAGAAAATGAAGATACAGGCCACAAATTGACAGTACATATCCATATGTGATTGGTTTCTAGATTGTGTAAACAACTTTTACAAATAGATTGTAGTAAGACAGTTTCATAGAAAAAATTATATAAGTTATTAACAGGTGTTTTGCATAAAAAGGAAATGCACTGACTACAAAAGCATATGAAAAGATGTCAAACCTTATTAGGTATCAAATAAATGTAATTTTAGACCACAATGAGATAATATAATACTGGCAAAACACCAAGGGTAAGTAAAGATGCAGAATAGGATTTTAAATGTAGGAATGTAACTTGAAAATAACACCTTCTGATGTTGAACATTCATATATCCTTAAATGCAGCAATTCCTATTCCTTTGTATACCATTGCCCTAAATAAATCCTTGTATGTTTGCACCAAGAAGTATATGTTTGTAGCAGCACTGTCTGTCAGAGAAAATAAAGTGCAAAAAACAAACAAAACCACTAAATGTTCAGTGACAGGAGAACAGATAAATTGAATTATATTTATGCCACATTTTCTTTATCTATTCATTCACTGATGGACACTTAGTTTTTTTCCAAGTCTTGGCTATTGTAAACAGAGTTGCAACAAACATGAGAGTGCACATATCTCTTCAGTATACCGATTTCCTTTCTTTTGGCTATGTACCCAGCAGTGGGATTCTGGATCATATAATAGGTCCATTTTTAGTTCTTTGAGGAACCTCCAAACTGTTCTTCATAGTGGTTGTACTAATTTAGATTCCCCTCTTAGGTGAGAGTCCTCTTTTCTCCACATCCTCACCAGCATTTGTTATCACCTGTCTTTTGGATAAAAGCCATTTTAACAGGGGTGAGATGATATTTCATTGAAGTTTTGATTTACATTTCTATGATGGCCATTGATGTTAAGCATCTTTTGCTATGCCTGTTTGCCATTTGTATGTCTTCTTTTGAGATATGTCTATTCAGATATTTGCCCATTTTTCAATCAGATTGTTAGACTTTTTCCTATAGAGTTGTTTGAGATCCTTATGTATTCTGGTTATTAATCCTTTCTCAGATGGGTAGTTTGCAAATGTTTTCTCCCATTCTTTGGCTTGTCCCTTCAATTTATTTATTGTTTCCTTTGCTGTACAGAAGCTTTTTTACTTGATGTGATCCCATTTGTTAATTTTTGCTTTGGTTGCCTGTGCTTGTAGGTATTACTTAAGAAATTTTTTTCCACTCTAATGTCCCAGATACTGTCTTTTAATGGTTTCATAGTTTCAGGTCTTAATTTAGGTATTTAATCCATTTTGATTTGATTTTTTATATGGCATGAGATAGGGGTCTTGTTTCATTCTTCTGCATATGGATATTCACTTTTCCCAGCATCAGTTATTGAAGAGACTGTCCTTTCACCAGTGCATATTCTTGGCACCATTGTCCAAAGTGAGTTTACTGTAGATGTATGGGTTTTTTTCTGGGTTCCCTATTCTGTTCCACTGGTCTGTGTGTATGTTTTTATGCCAGTACCATACCATTTTGGTTACTATAGTTCTGTAGTGTAATTTGAAGTCAGGTAATGTGATTCCTCCAGTTTTATTCTTTTTGCTCAGGATAGCTTTTGCAATTCTGCATGTTTTGTGGTTCCACATAAATTTTAGGATTGTTTTTTCTATTTCTGTGAAGATTGTCATTGATATTTTGATAGGGATTACATTGAATCTGTAGATCACTTTGGGTAGTATGGACATTTTAACAATATTGATTTTTCCAATCCATGAACATGGAATATCTTTCCATTTTTTGTGTTCTTTTCAATTTCTTGTACCAGTGGTTTATAGTTTTCATTGAAGAGATCTTTCACTTCTTTGGTTAAGCTAATTCCGAGTTATTTTATTTTATTTGTAGCTATTGTAAATGGCATTGTTTTATTGATTTCTTTTTCAGATTGTTCACTGTTGGCATATAGAAATGCCACTGCACACTACAGAGCAGTGAGCTCCCCTCTGGCCTAGGGCAGGTCCAGAAATGCCATTCAAGAGCCAAGGCCTGGAACTGGGGACCCCAAGAGCCTGCTTGGTGCTATACTCCACTGTCACTGAGCTACTACCTGAAGCCAGCACATCTCTGAGTCTCACCCAAGGCCCATGGCATAATACTGGGGTATCACTGCTGGTTCTTTAGGGCCTAAGGGCTCTTTAGGCAGAAGCTAATGGATCCTGCCAGGACTGGGTCTTTCCCTTCAAGGCAGTGGGTTCCCTTCAAGCCCAAGTTGTGTGCCTAGAAATGTTGTCTGGGAGCTAGAGCCTGGAATGGGGCCTCACAACCCTGACCAGTGCCCTGTCCTACTATGGCTGAGCTGGTATCCAAGATGAAAGACAAAGTCATCTTTACTCTTCCCTCTCCTCTTTAGCAAAAGGAAGGAGACTCTTTTGGAGCTATGATTGTGCTGCCTGGGTCGGGGGAGGGATAATGAAAGTACTCCAGTAGCCACCCTACTTGGTGTCTCAGTAGGTTGTGTGCCCTGCCCCCCTTACACTGGCTCCAAGCCCAGCTCAGCACTGGGACATGCCTAAGAATTGCAGTCTTTGTGGTCTAGACTGCCCCTCACTCAAGGCTTCAGGGCACTTCAGCTTGTGATGACAAGGCTTGTTGGAACTCAAGCTCTCACCACTGGAATGGGTGATTTCCCTCTGGCCAAGGCCAGTCTGTATGTTTCCTCTGTGGGTGGATGTCAGCTGACTGCCGTCAAGTTCTGCCCTCTGCTGTGAGAGGGCAGCACTGAGTTCAATGCAAAGCCTCACAATCATTACACTCTCCCTCTCCCAAGTACCCAGATTCTCTGTGCCATGCAGCCACTGCCAGGGTAAGGGACTGGGGAGGGCTGGTGTCAGTAGTTTAAGACTGTCTTTCCTCTTCTTTTCAGTGCGTCTTTCAGCAATATGAAGTCAAAATCAGGCACTGTGAGTGCTCACCTGATTGTTGGTGAAAAGCAAAATTACTTTTGCACCAACTTAAAATATGAAGGTGCTTCGTTTGTGTAGATAGTTTTCAAATTGGTGTTCATGCAGAGGAGGACGATTGGTGAAGCCCACTATTCACCCATCTTGTTCTGCCCCTCAAGCTAAAATTTATTGATTGCTTTCTGTGTGCCAGGCCATGTACTAAGCATTTTATAAGTGAAGGGATTAGAAGAGTTAACTGACTAGTTCATAGTCAGGTGTCTAATAAGTCATTAAATCAGAGTTAGGAACCAGGTCACTGGCACCAAAATTTTGCTTTTAAGCACTTCTGGAGCTGTTTGTAACTGAGACTAACGTCTGAAGCAGTCTTGACCTTGGATTATAGACATTGGATTATGGTCTTATGCATGCATTAAAGAGTCTGGTTGCTCTGAGAGAAGTCATGGGGAGATTCAGCAGTCTTGAGAATGGTTAGGGAAAGAGTATAATCTGGTTCAATATTTTTTTAAAAGTCCAGGAAATTTATGACACTGAATACATGCATTTGAAAAAAGGAAGAATCTCAAATCAATAATCTAAACACCTACTTCGAGAAACTAGAAAAAAAGAGAAAAGTAAACCCAAAGCAAGCAGAAGTAATAAAGATAAAAGCAGAAAATTAATGAAATTAAATAAAGAAAAATAGAAAAATCAGTGAAACAAAAAAACCTTCCCTTTTAAAAGATCAGTAAATCTCTAGAAATGTTGACAAATAAAGAGACAAAAGTCACAACTTACAAATATCAGGAATTAAACTGAAGATACCATTACAGACCCTGCAGACATGGAAAGGATAATAAAGGATTATGCCGAACAACTCTACACACAGAGATTTGGCAAATTCCATGAAGCAGACCAATTCTCTGAAAGAGAATAAATTGTTACAACTCACCACATATGAAATGGGTAATCTGAATAGTCCTATAACTACTAAAGAAACTGAAACTAGAGATTTCTCAAAAAGAAATCTCTAGACCCATATGGTCTCACTGGAGAATTCTACCAAACCTTTAAAGAAGTCTAACATTAATTTTACATAATCTTTTCCAGAAAAATTTAAAAAAATAGAAAAGAAGGTCCCAATTTATTCTTTGAAACCACTATTAATCTAACATCAAAACCAGATGATTACAGTACATAAAAAGAAAACTATACACCAATATCTCTCATAAGTATAGATACAAAAATTCTTAAGAAAACATTATAAATAGAATTCAGCAATATATAAAAAGAATTATATACCATAAAACAAGTGGGCTTTATTCCAGAGATGCAGGCTATTTGAATATTTATAAATCAATCAATGTATTCCATCACATGAAAGTCTAGAAAAAAATTACATTATCACATTAACTGATACAGAAAAAAATTAGATATAATTCATACCAATTAACAATGAAAATTCTCAGAAAACTTAGTGGAGAGCTTCTTCAGTTTGATAAAAAACATCTAGAAAGATATACAACATCATACTTACTTGTGAAAGACTGAATGCTTTCTGTTTAAGAACAAGAACAAGACAAGGGTATACCTTCACCACTGCTATTTAACATAGTACTAGATGGTCTAGCCTGTATGAAAAGACAAGAAAAGGAAATAAAAGGCACATGTCATTTGTAGGTGACATAATGATGTATGTAGTAAATGCCAAGAAATTTACAAAAGAACTAAGTTCAGCAAGGTTGCAGGGTATAAAAAAAAAAAACAAAAATAAATTGTATTTTTATATATTATCAATTAACTCAACAAATAAAAACTACAATACTATTTACAGTCACTCGAAAAATAAAACAGGAATGTTTAGCTGTAAATCTAACAAAACATGTACAGGACTTATATGCTGAAATTACAAAGTGCTGATAAAAATATTAAGGGAGATTTCTAAATAAATAGATACTCTGTGTGCAAGGATTGGAAAAGTCAACATAGTAATGACAGTAGTTCTTCCCAAATTGACATACAAGTTTAAAGCAATTCCTATCAAAATCTCAAGCACAATCAATAGATTCCGACAATATTATTCTAAAATTTATATGGAAAGGCAAACAAACTAGAATAGCTAAAATAATTCTGGGAAAAAAAGTGGAAAGAATCCTTGTACCTGATTTCAGGACTTACTGCCTAGTTACACTAATCAGACTGGATGGTATTGGTGGAAGGATAGGTATATAGATCAATGGAACAGAACAGAGAACTCAGAAATAGCTTCATCCAAGTACAATGAACTAATTTTTGACAACGGTGAAAGAGCAATTCAATGAAGGAAAGATAGTCTTTTTAAACAAATGGTGCTTGAGCAATTAGACACAAGAAAAAAGAAACCCAGTGTAGGTGACTTAAAATAAATTACATAATGTAATACTATACAATTTTTAGAGGCTAGCATATGAGAAAATATAGGGATTGGTAAAGTTCTTGGAAATGACACCAAAAGCACAATGCATAAAAGAAAAAAGTGATTAATTGGACTTCTGCAAAATTAAAAACTTTTGCCTTGAGGAAGACTAAGAGGATGACGATACAAGCTACAAACTGGGATAAAATGTTCCCATATCTGTCAGTGGATCCGTATCTACTATATAAAAAGAACTCTCAAAACTTAACATTTTAAAAATTAAAATGGGCACATTTTTAAATGGGCAAAAGACATGAAAAGACATTTTACTGAAGAGGATACCTAGGTGACAAATAAGTTCAGTAAATGAAAAGATGGTCCAGATGTCCCAAATTCATACCACAATAAAATACCACCACATGCCTATTAGAAAGTCTAAAATAAAAAATAGTGACAATACCAGTGTTGACGAGGATATGGAAAAGCTGGATCTCTCATACGCTGCTGGTAGGAATATAAAGTGGTACCACGCTGGAAGACTCTTCAGCAGTTTCTTAAAAAACTAAACATACACTTATCATATGTCCCAACAGTCACACTTCTGGGCATTTATCCTAGAGAAAATAAAAACTTATGTTCACATAAAAACCTATACACTAATTGTTCATTGCAGCTTTGCTGTAATAGCTAAACACTAGAAGCAACCGAAATGACCATCAAGAAGGGAATGGCTAAATAAACTGTGATACTCTTGTATGTCCATACCATGCAATAATACTCAGTAATGAGAAGGCACTGACTATCGATACATGTTAAAACTTGGATGAATGTCAGAGGCATCATGTTAAGTGAAAAAAGCCAATCTAAAAAATTGTATTTTGTATGGTTCCATTTATATAACATTTTTTAAATGACAAAATTATATAGATGGGAAACATTGCTGGTTATGAGGGGTAGGGGTGGTACGGGAAAGGCAGTGCATATAACTATAAAGTGGTGGCAACAGGGAGACCTTCCTGGTGATAGAACAGTCTGTATCTTGTTTGTGGTGGTTGTTACGAATCTACGGAAGTCCTAAGACAGGATGGAACTAACATAGTCCTCCTTATCCACAGTTTCATTTTCCATGATTTCATTTACCAACGGTCAACCAAAGTCCAAAAATATTTAGTAAAAAATTCTAGAAATAAACAATTCATAAGTTTTAAATTGTGCACCATTCTGAGTAGCACTATGAAATCTGGCACCTTCCTGCTTTGTCCTCACATCCCAGCATGTGAGTCATCCCTTTATCCAGAATACCCACATTGTAAGCATTCCACACCCATTAGCCACTTAGTAGCCTTCTTGGCTATCAGATTGACTGTTGGGGTATTACAGTGTATGTTCCAGTGACCTTTCTTTTGCTTATTCATGGCCCCAAAGTGCAACAGTAGTGATGCTGGCAATTCAGATATGCTAAAGAGAGGCTGTGAAGTGCCTCCTTTAAGTGAAAAAATGAAAGTTCTCAACTTAAGGAAAGAAAAAAAAATAGGCTGAGATTGCTAAGATCTAAGGTAGGAATGATCTTCGATCTGTGCAATTGTGAAGAAAAAAAAATTCCTGTTAGTTTTGCCTTTGCACCAAAAACTACAAAAGTTATGGCCACAGTGTGTGATAAGTGCTTAGTTAAGATGGAAAAAGTATTACATTTCTCAGTGGAAGACATGAACAGAAACATGTTTTTATTGATAATATTGAAGTCAAAATATAGAGATGAATCTCTAAATTTAAAACACTTTATTTGGGAAGCAAGAATTGCAATTCTGGCCTCATACAGAGAATACTTTATTTCAGTCTTCAGTCTTTAGTATGTCTGAAGAACAAGCCAGGTTGGAAGTTTTAGAAATGTTATGTATTACTCTGAAAGTTCATTGGCATCAGAAAGTTTGGTGAGTGATAGTAGTGGGTAAAACTGGTCTTAGAGTTGCAGCAGGTTGTTTCAGTAGTTACTAGATAAAACAGATTTCAGATTACAACAGGCAATTTCTGAAGCCAGCCTCGCAGAGAATTACATTCTTAGTGCAATGTTACTATATTATGTGCTCTGCGTGCTTTTTCCCCCTGGACTCTCAACTTTGTTTTAGTTGAATATGAAAATGACCCAATTTGTATGATTAACTTTCACATTTCCCTTTTCTGATAAAGATTTTTCTCGGAAAACATCAGGGATCAACCATTGTGTAGTAAGGCTTAATTGTTCCTCAGTGATGGGATCAACCTATCTAATATGTCTAACGTATTAGATTTCTGTGAATTTATGTAATTTTTGAAACATGATTATCAACAACATACCCATAAATATAACTAAAAGATCTAGTATCACTTATTTGACAATGTTTCCTACACAGTTTACCAAATAAGCCTAACTAATATCTCTACAATATGAGATATATCTTTGGAGGCTTTTCACAGGCTCATCTGAAAAATCCTAAAATTAATTCTAGGTCAAAAAGGCCTAACTTAGGATTTGATTTTAGGTAAATTTATCAAAGATGTTAAAATACTCAAACCACTTAATCAAAACAGAGTAACAGGTCACTGTAAAATAACAGTCATTTATTTAAAAAGAATGATAGTCAAAAGACTCCAGAAAGTGACATAGACATAAAAACCTTAACCCTTTTAAAGCTTAGTTTTCCTAAGTAATCAAAAATCTAATAAAGGTGACATAGAAAGTTATCTTGACAAAATGTAAAATTTTTGTTTCTTGGATCTGCTACTAAAAAGGGAAAGAAAAACCTTCGGCAGGGTGATTGTTTCTCCTTATGGAAGCTCATTTAGATAATCTGGATGCCAAGCCTGATGCAAAAGGGTATTTAAATTTAATCAGACATCTGAAGACTATGTCCAAAGTTATAAGATAATAATTCATATACAACAAGAAAAGCTAAGAGTACAGAATTAAGTTACACTGAAGGAAAATATTGCTTTTTAGGCCTTTTAGATAAATATTTCAGTCTCAGGCCAAAAAAGCAGAGTTAGAACTGGAAAAAAAAGTTATAGGAACTGATAACAAAGTTGGAGAAGAGCACTGTTACTCCAGGCCTTCACAAGGGGAAGAAAAAGGTGAGGGCAGGGATGTTGGACCTGCAAGTCAAGGTCACGAGATACAGTAAAAGTTGAATCTCTGAGATGTGAATCTGAGAAATTTCAAAAGGAAACTTTACCACAGGAAATGAAATTACCATTTTCAATGAAAAGGACAACATTTTAAACCTGAAACTAGAGAAATTAAATAGATCTTAGGAAGAAATGGCAGCAACAAAAATTGTGCAGTTCAGAACATCGGTATTAAACAGGTTTTAGAATTAAAAATCTAAACGTCTTGTAGTTTTATTAAGAACAGATCAGTACTTCAGGAAATCCTTGTTATTTTAAATATAGAGGTCCTGTGTCAGCAACTCCTGACACCAGTGTTTTAATTTTTAGAAAAACACATAAACAATTTGTTTCTAAATCCTAGCCAATCCAATCACACATAAAACTTCCTTCACAAAGCCCATCTTCTATAAATCCTTTTCAACTTGTTTAGAACTTTCATTATTTTCCCAAACTCCCATTCTTAGTCCTATAATTTTTCTGTTTGTAAATTTTGGAAAAAGCAATCATTTTATCTCAGGACAAAAATTTACCGCTGAAGATTTTTTTCTCATATAAAATTATTTTTCACTAAATTCATATTTTGATCAATAGACCTAAACATATTTAGTATTTTTATAAAATTTAAGAAGCCAAGAAAGAAACTTTTATGTAGTTAGCAATTTGTTTCCATTTTGGATATAACTTGGTCATTTAATGAGTATTTATTACTTTATATAACTTGAAAAGTTTAAATTACATAAAAATTTCATTTATAATTGTTTATTTCATTTCTAATTACCTAATTTAAGTAATTATACCTAAATTACTTATGGAAAATTAAAATATTAGAGCTAGTCACTATTTTAAGTTAGTTTTTATTACAATTCCATAGCCTGTTAATATCAAGTGTTTACCTATGGTAGAACCTTAAAGTTTAATATTTGGTTATCCTGTTGGTAACTCAGAAAATACAGCTGTTTTTATTAAATCAACAATATTAAATTAATCTTATCCATCAAAGAATTGCATACACAAACCTTATTTTGTTTTAGGCTGGGTTTATAGCTTTATAACATTGAGAACTCTAGCAGAGACAAATATAAAACTGACCAGTAAACCCAGGCAAATATTAATGTTGCCAATTTTGAAGACTTTTCTAATTTTATCAACAATTTAAAAACCAATTAATTTATCAATTATTTGCTTAAGTAAGGCAAAGTAAAA